TACAGATATATATATATATATATATATATATATATATCTTTTCTAGATAAAAATAAGCACGAAAAAATTAACATAGCGTTACTATAATTAGATAATAATTGTATACAAAAAGTTTGTTCAAAAAAAGTAAAAAAATAAAATTTCGATTTTCATCAACGTCAATCATCTTCTTAATAATGTAAAAGTTTTATTTTTTTATTTGTTGATTAAAGTTTTGTTAATTTAAAAATTCGAAATATTCTAAACGTTGGTTTTAATATAATGGCATTGCAGCTATGCCAAAATCCAATTACAATCTACTATAAAGTATCAGTTAACAACATAAATCGATAACAAAAATGTATTATAATGTTCTTCGTGATTTCTTTATACTATTTTATTAATAACATGTGCAAAATTTCATTCAGCTCAAATAATAAGCCTAATTAAAAATTTTCGAAACGATCTTCATTAAATAATCACAATTCCAATTAATACTCACGGCAATGATGACAAGTTTGTGCAATATTCTTGTTTCTTGGAAAGGGAAAGCGTCATCGTAGTAATAAATTTCATCTATAAAACAGGAAAACTGCTGCATAAATTTATTCTAAACTTGCATTTTGAATCAATAATTTTAATATTGTCGTTACTGTCACATTATATTATTTGTACTACATTTTTCAGTAAAGTTTGACAATGATTCTATATACATGAGCATAATGTTTCCGTATTTTCTTTATTTATTTATTATTTTCCATCGTTATTATGATTTTATATTTGAATTGATGACAACGACATTGAAAGAGCAACAAAAAATAAAATCTAATAACTTTAAGACGCTATATAATGTTCATAATAATATTTTTAAAATAATTTTCATTTTAATACAACAAATGCGCTTGGTATAGTATTGCTTCACTGCTGTAACAACACTGCTTTGTTATGAATTCCAATACTTAGAACGAAAAATTATAAACAGTTCTTAAAATTTATGATTGTGGTTAGAAATAGAGAATTTCTAGTTATTCAATAATACGATAGATATTTCGATAGATACAAATTAAATGATCATTTACTTAAGATTCCACATTTATTAAGAAATCGTTGAGTTCGCCTACGTAGGAATATTATCTGTCACACGACAACTCACACTCCGTTTGATTGAGATAGGCTCGCCAATCACGAGATGAAACATGATTTTGCAGAGAAAACAAAAATTAATCAGAATTGTGGGATAAAGAGGAATTGCTACTAAAATCTTTCTATCCGGGATTAAGACAAGAATTTCTACACTTGCGAAGCTCAACATCCAAAAGAATATAAAAAGCCTAACCATAGAGCCTAACTAACCGGAAATGACAACGCAACATACTGTCACTTCTATAGGGGAGCAAGATCTGATCAGCGTAGAGGTACCAAACTCTACGTCGATTATGGCCGTCGATATTCGACCTGCGGCTGCGACATTTCTTTCCTTCATTTTAAATTTTCCTGGCAATTTCTCACCCTACAGTACAATAGAGGTAAGACGCGCGACAGAGTCGTTATTGGCATAGATACGATACACCGAATTAGCTTCCTTCCACAAGATGGTAAAATACTCTTAACATGAACACACTCTGCGAAACTGAGCAAATAACTGAAGTGAATCGGTAAAATGAATAACTTTGTGAGTGAATGAGTGATGAACGAGTTAAAGTGAATGCATAAATAAGTGAGTATGATTTTTATCACCACTGTAGAATAAAAATCTTTATTAAATGATTAAAAAAGAAAGCGGAACAGAAAACATGGAAATGGCGTTACAAATTAAAATTGGAGTTCATTCAATTTTCACAAATCTCTAAAATAGACATGACAAATATAATACAACGTAATTTTATACTGGATTAAGAAATAAATAAAAATTACTTTTATGGAAAGGTCTTTGATAATGATGATCTGGTTGTGAGACATCATTAACATTTTCAATTTTTATCTCCAAAATAATTTTATTCAAAATAATTTTTTCTCTTCTACTCTTTAAGCAAACATTAACTTTATATTTTACTTAACAACTGCTTTATAAAAACAATTTTTTTAAGTCTAAATAAATATTTACGAAAATTCCAATTATACATAAAAGTTCCAATTATACATAAAAGTACATAACTTGCAATTAGAAATTCTTTATATACATTAACAATAGATTGTAAACAAAAATGTGCTACAGGTACGAAAAACATTACTGTTTTAATTACATTTGAAAAATAAAATTATTATCTTAATATAAATAACTCTAAATTTATTTAGTCAATTCAATGATTAATTTCACTCGTGCTGCTTTGATTATAGGTTATAAATTATTATTAATTTATTGAAAAATAATCAATAAACATGTGTGAAATGCAGTATTTCAGTAAACAGGTTTGAGCTTATACATTAAATGTTTTTGCAAATTGGAAATTTTTGCGTAACATGCATAATGTATTTCATCTTTTTTCTCAATTTTATGATTAAATTAATTAACGAAAAAAATCCATAATTCAAAATTGACATATACGTAGCATAATGTAATTATTTCAATGCACGCATGCACGCATGCACACGCGCGCGCGCGTGCACACACACACACACACACACACACACACACACACACACAATTTTTGTTTTATAAAATTATTTATAATTTAAATTTTATTAATTAAAAAAATGTTTAATATATATATTCATTATGATCTCAATTCCATATATGGATTAATTTATACATTTATGCATCTCTCAATTTATATGTATAGCATAATCTGTAATATCAACTTTAATCGTTGCATAAATCTAGAGAAATAATGCATATTACATTTGCACATTATATAAAGTTTTTGCTACAGTTTTGTCTTTATTAATATTTTCACGAATTTTTCTTTTGTAACGGATTATATAAATTAAATATATATAAATTAAAAATATAAACGAAATTTGCTTGAAATCCAACAATCCTATTTTGTACATTGTATTTACAATACACGAAATATGACAATTTAACTGTTAAAAAAAATGAATACGTGTTGCAAATTGTATGTTTTAAGAAATAAATTTAAACAACAATTCATTTTTAATATTAAATAGATAAATACATATTACATTCGATTTAATTCGACTAAATAACTTTGTTTTGCATGTACTATTTTAATAAGTAAGTTTAACTATAAATATGATAAACCTTTGATTAAGAAACACCGTTCTCATAACCGTGACTTTGATACATGTAAAAGAGGCGAGGGTATTGATCTTATTAATCTTATCTTATTAATTAATCGGCGATCTCATTTAGTTTTCAAGATATACATACAACTTATTTTTGAAATTTCATTATTCTATTTATATGACACTTTATATATGATAGATACTACACACACACGCACGCGCGCGCGCGCGCGCGCGCGCGCACACACACACACACTATATTATATACATCCTGTATTTTTAACTTTGATAGTTTATATTTTTGAAACTAAACCGTTTCGCACATATAATCATATGAAGTTTTCATTTTTTGAATTTGTGTGAGGAATCACCCCTTAAATCTTTTAACATATTTAAGATACACTATCTATCTATATATATATATAAAAGATAAGGTATCATATTATTTTAAATATTATTTTAATTTTTACTAAATATTGCTTAATGCTTAAAAGCTTAAATTAAATTGTATATTTTTTATTATTATATATATTTTATTATTATATTTTAATACATATGTAGCGTATGCTTTATTACAATATATATTGTAATATTTAAATGTAGTAGTATTTAAATTGATGTAAATTCTGAAAATAATATAAAGGATAGTTTCAATATCCAAACATTCGATATGGGATATCGATCTTTCAAATAATTAAGATAAAAGAGTGCGAAAGTGAAAATTTACACACAATAAATTAATAAAAAATTATGCGGTTCACTTATTTCTGAAAATATTTCTCTTGTTTCATTAATAGGATATATTTTGCATATAGAATTGATCATATGCGACCAGACTGTAAAATTACTTCTATCTCTGTATTCTACATTCTACTGTAATCCTAATCTGAAATTGATTACCATCTATTCTATATATTTAGAAATAAATGTAAACGTTTGTTTCTGCATTTAACTTATTTAATAGACAATCTATATTTAATTTAAAAGTGAAAATATATTATATAAATATATTAATTTTTTTCTTTATTTATGACTATATATTTACATATGAATCTCTTGCTTTAAATAACTAACTATCAATTTTATTGCTATTTATTATATTTAGAAAAAAGGAGATAATCTCTCATAAGTCTTAAAATATATTGTAAAAGTATTTTTTATATTATGAAAAGGAATTGTAAATTTATCTTTATAAATAAATATAAAATATATAAAATTCTTTCCTGTTTACAATAAATATAGAAAATTGAAAGAAGTTATTTAATTAATCCATCTATAAAAAATTCATCCATCTATCCATTTATAAAAAGGCTTTATCCATTTATAAAAAATTTTAATTTTTCCACAATATTGATTGGTTTTCTTGTTTTGCTTATTTCATGTTGCAAAGATAGTGACGATCGTGTATTTTAACAGTTTGTATATTATTCACATATCTACATATTACGGATAAAAAGATTACAAATTATGTGAAAATATTTTGTTTCGCAATTTAAATTTTCATATTTAATTAAATGTTGAAATGTTGAATTTTACTTTAAATTGTGTAAATAATTTTCTTTATGTCACATGACAATTATTAATAGTACGAAGTAGATGTGTATATAATTACGACAAGTTGATAGAGTGGATTTGATTTTTAATATATGATTTGAAATATTTGAAATATATAAAATATCAGAAAATAAATAGCGCGCGGATAATGTCTGTAATATGTCCTTTTGATAAAAAATAGATTTTAATATTAATGATCATTATTAAATTAATTAAAATTAAATTAAGTAGGAAATATAAAAACATTTTTTAGTATTGACTAAATTTTGTAAGATTAATAAATCATTTCAATAAATTATTTCGTTAATAATTTATAATTGATAATTTGTTTGCTTTTCCTATGATCAAGAAATACGTTTAATTATATAGTACGTATATATTTTTCATTTAATTTTAGAATGTGCTTTTTTAATTTAACGTTGATATAATAAACTTCTTTATAAATCAAAGAAAGAGAAGAAGAGAAAAAATACTTTGTTATTGTTTCTCTTATATAAAGGAAGTTTAAAAGTATAAAATCAACATCTCATTCATTTAAGTAGATTTGTGTTTACTATAGAGCTTAGAATATATGAAGATTTTATAAAAATATTTTTGTTATATCTTCGAACAACTTATTGACTTTTGCTGTTCTTCATCAAGTTCATAATAATAATATTAGTAAAGAACTATATTTTATAGTATTACGCGTTCAAAAAAATTAAAAAATGGTGTCTTCATGTTAAGAGATATAGAATTTTATTATAAAAGGGAACATATATATATATATATATATATATATATATATAGAGTAGTAA